AGGTCCCCTTCAGTCTCTGTGGCCTGGAAAACCCTGCTGCCAATCCTCTTGATACTAAATTGGGAAACCATTAGCAATGCTCCACTGCCAAACTCCACCATTAGCCAAAAAAGAAAAAAAAGGAGAGAGAGAGAGAGAGAGAGAGAGAGAGAGAGAGAGAGAGAGAAGGAGGAAGGAAGGTGGGGGGAGGAAGGAAGGAAGGAAGAGGAAGGAAGGAAGGAAGGGAGAAGGAAATGAATGAGGGAGGGAGGAAAGAAGGAAGAAAAGACAGCTACATCAATATTTTATTTTTCAATCACAGATTTTTCCTTCCTTCCCCCTCCTTATTTCAATGCAGAGACTTTGTGAAGGTTTAGTTTATTCCCGGTGTGGGTCTGATGTTCCCTTAGACATAAAGCTAAGAATTGAGAGACAGCTTGATGGTCTTGGGAAAACTGCTAAGAAAGCTGACTGCTAGAGAGTCATCACAGAGCTGCCTGTGTGGTGAGAACTTTCAAAAGTCGTTTTTGTGCACACAAAGGGGCAAAGTTCAAGTCTTCTAGAAACTCTACTGCAATAGTCACAGAGATACAAGGAGCACCAGGACTCTGTTTCCAACAGAAGTAGTATGGAAGCCCCAAGGAGAAGTGAAGTCCCCCGTTTTAAAACCCCTTCCTTTCCCCTGCACCCCACTAGCTACAGACTCAGTGCTTACCTTCACTTCCTACAGACCATTAAAGGAGTACGTGCTTCCTCTCTGGACACCAAGCTGGACCTGCTTCTGCAAAGGCACTCATGACCTCATACAGCTGCTTCTGATGTATGCATTGCCTCTCCCTCCCTCCTTCCTTCCTTCCTTCCTTTTTTGATGAGACTGAGGTTTGAACTCAGGGCTTCACACTTGCAAACCAAGCATTCTACCACTTGAGACACACCTCCAGTCCATCTTGGTCTGATTATTTTGGAGATGGGAGTCTCTCAAACTATTTGTGAGGCCTGGCTTTGAACTGCAATCCTCCTGATCTCAGCCTCCCAAGTAACTAGGCTAGCCACTTCAGCGGCTCTTTCTTTCTTTGTTTTTTATGGTGATGAGGATGGAACCAGGGCTTCACACCTAAGCATGTGCTCTACCACTGAGCTACACCCCAGCCTCTAGCTCATATTTTACCTGACCTCTATGATCTGACATTTTCAACACTCACTCATTAATTATTTATATACATATTTTTATGAAATATTCTAGGTATGCAAAAGACATAAAAAATAATATAACAAAGAACTGTTGTAGGATTTTCCAGAAAAACAGAGCAATAGGTGTGTATGAGTGTAGATCGATGGATAGATATAGATAGACAAATGATAGATAGATGATAGATACAGGTAGAGATAGATATAGATAGATGATAGATACATAGATACATAGATAGATGATAGATGATAGATAGGTAAATAGGTAGGTAGGTAGATAGATGGATAGCTAGATAGATGACAGATATGACAGTGAATTGGCTCCCATGATAACAAAGGCTGACAGGTTACAAGGTCTGCAGAGCGAGTCTGAAGCTGGAGACCGAGGAGAGCCAACAGTGTTTGGTTCTAGTCGAAAGGCCTGTCACCTCAAGATGCACGAACAGCCAATGTTTCAGATCAAGTTCAAAGGCAGAAATAAGCTGATGTTCCATCTTGAAGGCAGTCAGGCAGGAGCTCTCTCTGACTTGGGGGACAGTCAGCCTTTTTTGTTTTTTAGACCACATATTGTTAAAGACCCCCACATTAGGGAAGACAGTCTGCTTTACTCATTCTTCTGATCTAAACATTAATCACATCCCAAAACACTGTCATGGAAACACCCAGAATAATGTTTGACAAATATCTGGGCACCTCAGGACCTTGAACTTTCTACATAGCCCAAGTTGAAATCAAACTTTTGATCCTCCTTCCTCAGCCTCCCAAGTGCTGAGATTACAGATATGCACCACCATACCAGGAAAGGGCCACAGTTTTCTGCTTCTTTATACATCATACTGAATATACACTATTACTTTCTTTTTTGGACTCAGCATTACATTTGTAAGGTTCACCAACATTGATCCATGTAGGTTTAGTTTATCAGTTTTCACTTCTGTGTAATATTGTGCAACTATGCTACAATTTATCAACTTCAGTGTCTCCAGGTTTTTGTTAGTGTACACGGTTGCCATGGCAATTCTTGTACACATCCTATTGTATATATTTGCATTTTTCCAGTAGTCTACCCAGAAGTGAAACAGATGGTTGTGGAGTCTGGATGCCTTTAACTTAACCACATCCATGACAACATGTGGTATTGTCAGCCCCCTCCCGTTTTTCGATAACCAGATAGGTATGAGATTATACATCATTGTGACTCACCTTGAATTTCACCAACCATTAATAAGATAGGGCATTTCTTCATAAGTTTGCTGGCCAAGAGGTTGACCTCCTTGTCCCATCTCTTCCAATTGCACAGTTCTTTCACTTTTTGATTTGCAACAATTACATACTGTAGCTAATAATTCTCTTTCTGTTAGATGTTTTGCAATTTCCTTCTCCAAGCCAGTGGCTTCTGTCTCTAATTACCTCAATACCTTTATTGAGATATAATTTGCAAGTCTAAAACTCACCCGTTTTAAGTGTGCAGTTCAATGATCCTTTAATGCATTTAAGGAGTTGTGCCACTACCACTGCAGATTTGTTTTAGAATGTTCACAACCCCACAGAACAAGCCCTCTCATCCCAATTCCCACCCTGGCCACAGGCAACCGCTAATGGTTTTTGTGACTCACCATTTCGCTTTTCTAGACATTCCATGTAAATGAAATCACACAGTATGTGGTCTTTCACATCGGGCTCTTTTCACTTAGAATGCTGTTTTTAAGGTTCTCTCATGCTGAACGCTCTACTAGTCATTTCTTGTTACTGCTGAGTAGTACTCCAGTGTAGGGCCATATCACATTTTCACATTTTGTTTATCAGTTAATGAATATTGGCTTATATTACATCTGATGAGAACCAGAGTTCATATTTTGTTACCTTTGCCCTCCTGTGAGTAACAGGTCTGTTTTCCACTATGGCTGCCTTTAAGATTTTTCTCTTTGTCTTTGATTTTCAAAAAATTTACTATGACATACCAAGTGTAATTTTTAAAAATTTTATCTTTCTTGGAATTAGTTGAACTCTTTAGACCTGTGGATTATTACTTTTCATTAAGATTTCGGCCACTGTTTCTTTAAATATTATTTTTTGGGGGGAAGATGGAGGGGGTGATCTAACCAATGTAGAACACAGGTTATTCAGAATTGTCACAACAAATCCCTCCCTACAATGAATATATGCTAATAAAAATGAAAAAAAAAATTCTGGCCTCATTTGGTTCTTTTCTCTCCACACAGACCACCAAGCTCACATGTGGGAGACTGCCTTATCTTCCTGTAGCTTGCTAATTCGTTATTTTCCATCATGTTCTCTCTCAGCTTCAGTTTTGGTCATTTCTATTGGCCTGTATTCATATCCACTTATTTTTTTCTTCTGCAGTGTTCAAGCTGCTCTTAACCTCATCCAGTGAATTTTATTTTCAGATACTGTACTTTTCAACCCTATCGTTTCTATTCAGCTCTTGAAATTTTCCATTTCTCTTGAAATACTCTATCTCTTAACCCGTTTTGTCTATTTTTCCCTTTAGCTTATTTAAAATAGTCGTTTTAAGTCCTTATCTCTCAATGACTATAACTAGGTCATCTGAGGCCCTAGTTATGGGTCACAGTTTTGGTTTTGTTTTGTATTTTCATTTCGTTTTGTTTTGTTTTTAGAGACAGTATTGTTATGCAGCTCAGGCTGGCCTGGAACTTGCAATCCTCCTTCATCAGTTCCCAAGTGCTGGATTACAGGTGTTCGATACCACACTAGGAATGGGTCACAGTTTTCTGCTTCTTCCTAGGTCACATAAAAATTTGAATTCTGTATCTTGTGTATGAAACAGCAGTGGAGGGCTGGTGGAGTGGCTCAAGTGTAGCGTGCCTGCCTAGCAAGCATAAGGTCCTGAGTTCAAACTCCAGTATCACCAAAAAAAAAAAACCAGCAGTGGAGACTCAAGTATGATACTTTTGTTTGTTTGGTTTGGTTTGGTTTGTTGGTTTCCTAGGGATGCTAGCTTTCCCCCTCTGTTTTGTGGTTAAGGTACATAAACTTTACATCTGATCAATAAAGTGAACCCTTTGTCATTATTAAGTGGCTTCTTTATTCCTCATTTTTTTTTCTGTGAAATCAACTCTGTCATATGGCATTTTTTTTTGAGATAAGCTTTCACTGCCTTGGAGTTCACTATTTTTTCTTCTGCAATGTCCAATCTGTTATTAATCCAAGTCAGTGTATTTTTCAGCTCAAATATTAATCATCTCTACAAGTTGCATTTGAATTTTTCTTTTTTTTTTCTATTCTTTCTTGTTTCTACTTTTGAACACATGGAATATTGTCATAATATGTGTTTCAGCATCCTTGTCTGCTGGTTCTAACATCTGTGTTGATTCTTCCCCTCATTATAGTCCATAGTTTTCTGTTTCTTTGCATGCATGGCAATTTTTTTAATGGATGCCAGACATTGTGAATTTTACCTTATAGGGCAATGGCTGTTTTCGTATTCCTATATAAATAAGCATTTACTCTGGGATGGAGTTGTATTTGGGGAACAGTTTGATCCTTCCCAGTCTTGCTTCTAAGATCTGAGGTATGCTCAGTCTGGGGTTGATCTTCCCCACCCCAAGGCAGACCCCTCCCACATACCCTACTTCAATGTGCGTGACTCAGACGGTTTCTGTTCCTGCTGGTAGCCCATGTGAGCTGTGAACACTATTTCCTCTCACTTCCCTAGCCTCAGATGGTTCCTCCCGTGCTGTGTGACTAGTACACTGAGTACCCTGATTGGATCCCCTAAAGGTATGAGTGTGCTCTGAACAGCTTCCTCTTCTGCTCCTTTGACTTGTGAATTTTGTTCCCCCACCCCCACCCCAGACTCTCAGCTCCTTGTCCTCAACTCTGCAAGACCACCGAGCTCTGCTTGGTTCCTCCTCATAGCACCATGGCCTGAGAATTCTCCTGGAAGGTAAGACGGGGCAACTCCAGAGCTCACCTCTGTTCTTTCTCATTCCTCAAGGACCATTCAGCTTCATTGCCTGATTTTCATTGTCCTGAAACTGTTCTCTGATGTAGTTTTCCTGTTGTTGTTTTAAACAGGAAGACCTTTAAGCTAGAAGCAAAAGTGCATTAAAAATGAAAGCACCCAGTTAAACAAGCCTAACTGAGAACTCTCAGGTCATTGGAAACTACATTTGTGGAACCTCAGTTTAAGAAATGTTATTCAAGCCAGGCATGATGGTATACATCTGTAATCCCAGAACTCTGGAGGGGGAGATAAGAGAATCACCATTTTGAGGTCAGCCTGAGCGTCATAGAAAGACTTTGTTTCAAAGAAAAAATAACAGCATTCAAGGTTGTACATAATGACACACACCTTTAATACTAGCACTGGGGAGGATGAACTAGGAGGATCTCAAGTTCAAGGCCAGCCCAGGCTACATATGGAGAGCCTGTCTCAAATAAATAGATAAATAAATAAATGTTACTCAATAAGAAAAAGGCAAATAATTTAATTTAAAAATGGGTGTCATGAGCACAGGAAAAGATGCTACATGTTGTTTGTCCTCAGGGAAATGCAAATCAAAGTGCTAGCTCAGTGACAGTCATTAAGATGGCTAGACTCAAAAGACTAACAGGGCTGGGTGCTAGTGGCTCATGCCTGTAATCCTAGCTACTCAGCAGGCAGAGATCAGGAGGATCTAGGTTCAGAGCCAACCCAGGCAAATAGTTCCAAGACTCTATCTTGAAAAAACCTTCACAAAAACAGGGCTGGTGGAGTGGCACAAGGTGAAGGCCCTGAATTCAAGCTCCAGTACCACAAAACAAAACAAAACAAGACTGACAGGGCTGGTGGAGTGGCTCAAGTGGTAGAGTGCCTGCCTAGCAAGCATGAGGCCCTGAGTTCAAACCCCAGTATTTCCAAAAAAAAAAGAAAGAAAGAAAAGAAAAGACTGACAATAACGAGTGCTGGCAAGGATATGGAGAAACAAGGACCATCATCCCTTGCTGGTGGGACTGTGAAATGGTGCAGCTGCTTTGGAGCACAGTGTGACAGTTCCTCAAGGGGTGAACATACAGCTACTGTGTGACTCAGATATTCCACTCCTCCGTCTATACCCAAGGGAAATAAAACACATACCCACACAACTTATCCATGAATATTTGTAGCAGCATTACTCAAAATAGCCAAAAGCTGAAACAAGTGAATGTCCATAACTGATGAATGGATATATGAAAATGTATGTATATTACTTGATCATAAAAAGGAATGAAGTACTGATACATACTACCACACGGATGAACTTCGGAATGATTATGCTAAGTGGAATAAGCCAGGTTACACATTGCAGAAAATGTTCAGTATAGACAAATCAATAGGAACGCAAAGTAGATTAGAGGTTGCCTAGGATGGGAGGCGGGGGTTGGCGGTGAGATGGGGTAGTGACTGCCACTGGGTACAAGTTTCTTATAAGGTTGATGAAATGTCTAAAATGGATGTGATGATGGTTACAAAACTGTGAATATACTAAAAACTGTTGAAGTTTATACTGTAAGTGGATAAATTATGTGGTGTGAATTACATCTCTATAAAGCTGGTGTTTTAAGAAAGAAATGCTATCATGTACTGTATGGTGCATTTGGGTAACTTGAGGCTCCAGCAACACCTGCAGCTCTCCTGGAGTGACCAGATCAGGTAAGACTAAGACAACTAGTATGGCTTTTTGTATCATCTGACTCTCTTCTCTTCCTTTGTCCCTTCTCCCCTCTCTCTTTTCCTGCTCAGACACTTACTATGAGACAAACACTGTCCTAGGCACTGAACTTGCACAAGCTGACCAAGACACAAGCCTGTCCTAAAGACTTTCAAACCTCAATTCCTCTTGGGCCTTTGAAACAAAAGAAGCTTTTGTAGGGACCACTTCTCTATGTTCCAGGCCGTGAGAAAAAACCAAATCTTCTAACGTCACATAAATCTGCACTTCAGCGGTGGGGCTCTCGTGCCCATAAACAAGGGAGAACATTGCACAGACTCTAAAATCTTACAGCTCTTTCGTTTTTCTATTAATCCATTTCTGTTGCCAATAACACAATGACACACACTGGGGAAGTTATAAAGAAGAGAGATTTATTTTTGCCTCTTGGTTCTCTAGGTCAAGGTCAAGGGGCACATCCAGCAATGGTCTTCTTGCTGGCAGACTCCTGAGGCAGAACAAGGAATCACATGGCAAGTGACAGGGAGCAGGTGGGTGCATATGTGTCTCTCTCTTTTTATAAAGCTTCTAGGATTCAATTATGGGGGCTCCACCCTAATAACCTTATCTGATTTATCTGATCCCATCATTGAATTAAATTTCCACCCTCTGAAGTTTTCACAATGGGGATTAAATTTCAACTCATGAAGCCTTGAGAAGCATACTCAATCCATTCCTGGGTAGCAGATCCTCCTCTCCAAGCTGGGTGACAGCATCCTCCCAGGTAAGGAAGGTGATGTGTCCTTCCCCTTGGGTCTCAGGACTCAGACACTGCACAGCTGGAGTTCACTGAGGACACACTCCTCGGGGGTGGGTGAGCAAACCCCTCACTTCTCAGATGGCCATGGGTGAACACTGCCATTCCTCGCTCACCAGCCTTTCCAGCAGGCTCATGTATCCTTCCCTGTAAGGTGGTGGTGCACACAGAGGACCTAAGCACTTGGGTCCTGGTTCCACCAGGAATCCTTGAACCCTAACATCTGCCATTCCATGCTTGAACTTGTCCCTTATTCCTCTCAGTGTCAAACTGCCTTCCAGCCTGAGGCCTGTGTCTTATCTCATCCAGCTCTTGTTCTGGATTGATGACTGCTCCGTGCTTGTTTTCCTCCACAATGACAGTTACCATGGGTTACAGTATTGGTGAGCACATCTTATCTCTTGTTACACTGCAGATTCTTGTTACCTGCTGCTTCCTGGTTCAGCCCTGTCCACTGTTGCTCTGAGTCCTAGCTTAGAATTAGCCTCTGGCTCCTCCTGGACACTTGCTGACTCCAGACCCATTCTTCCCCTCCAAGAACCAGTCTTGGCAGAACTTCACGGGGACAGTGAGGTGGATGGTCATCACTCCACCACCTTGGTCAATGGGTACTGGTCATCCATCTTGGCTTCCCGCCTCCCCTACTTCAGTACGCATCTGCCTTTTCCTAGAATCTTCTCTTTGGAGAAGCGTTTTTCATGAGACATAGTGAAGATGATTCAGAGATAGCTTCTAAAACCTTGTTTTTGCTTAGCAAGGCCCAGTCTATGACAACTGCTTCCTGTCTTAGAAATTACGTCTCCAAAGGCAATAGCAATGAAGGGACTGAAATGGCCTTCCTGCTGGCAATAAATTGAGTTTTCCAAAGTGGCTTCCCATTTCACAAGCTCTTCCTGAGCCTTACCAAGAGGTGGGGTCCATGGCCTCTTTCCCTAAAACCAGGTGGGTTTTGTGATGGTCTCAAAGAGACCAAGTGGAGCACAAGTGGAGTTCTGCCTGTAAGTCTGGCTTTCAGCAGGCAAGCCAGCTTCCCTGGCTCTGTCTTGTGGGTGCTTGTCCTTGTAACCCAGCTACCAGGCTGTGAGAGAGTCGAGGCCTCAGCTGAAGTCTTAGCTGACAACCAGCCTCAGGCTCCAGCTACAGGAGCAAGGAATTCCTCATAATGACTCCAGCCTGCTACCATCCAGCGAGCACATGGCAGATTGCGAGGAGATGTGTAGCTGAGCTCAGTAAACCCTCAGAACCATGAACAACCAAAGGACATGGTTGTTGTTTTAAACTACTAAGTTTGGCATGGTTTGTTACAGAGCAATAGAAAGAACACTGCTTTGCCAGGTGCTGGTGGCTCACACCTATAATCCTAGCTACTCAGGAGGCAGAGATCAGGAGAACTGAGGTTTGAATGAAGCCAGCCTGGACAAATAGTTCATGAGATCCTATCTCGAAAACACCTAACACAAAAAGGGCTGGTGGAGTGGCTCAAGGCGTAGACCCTCAGTTCAAGCCCTAGTACCGGAAACAAAAAAAAAAAACCAAAACACTGCTTCATTTCCCCATGCCACAAGCCTAACTCCATCTTTTTATTTTATTTTATTTTATTTTGGCAGTGCTGGGGACAGAATACAGGGCCTCCTGTACTGGACAAGTGTTCTACCCCTTGACATACCCCCCAGGCCCTCTAATTATCCTTTATTGCTTGGCTTATTGGCATGTCATCTCTCCTAATAGCTCCTCAGTCCCCACAGTGAAGCCAACACCCCTCCCCCAGAACAGCCAGTTCCCTGACTCTGCCAGTCTCCAATACCCTTCCCTGTCAAGTCTCATGGAATCTTCCTGGCACCTAGTGGGTGCACGGGTAGATGGATGATGGGAGAGAGATCTTGGGAAAAGAACATTTGCCACTGAAGAGAAGAGGGCCTTGAATTGCCAAACAAGAGCTTCCGCTACCTTCACAAGCCTTTTTTCTGATCCACATCCCAGGGTACTTTGGGCTTCTTTGCTGGGGACCTAGGATATCTTGAGTCAGAGTCAAATGAATCTAGGCATCAGCCAGGTGTGATAGCACACGCTTGTAATCCTAGAACTCAGGAGGTGGAGGAGGAGAATCATGAGTTCAACGCCAATCTTAGCTACATAGCAAGATCCTGTCTACTAAAAAAAAGAATCTAGGTATCAAGTGATTCTAGTCAAAATCGCTGTTCAACCTGGATTTTCTTCAGTTACAGAGTGTGTGAGTGAGGCTGCAGAAAAGTGTCATTCATAAACTCACCAGCAGGTGGCCACCTATTCATGGTTCTTATCTTGCAAAGTTTTCGGATTTATGTGTGCACACGTTCACAAAATATTAACTAAGCACCATGCGATCTACAAAGATGAGCAGGCTGCAACTCTGGCCCTTCCCAGACCTTCTGGGCTAGTAAACGCCATGCTTCTTGAGCTTGTCTTTGGGGCGAAATAGTTCCCACAAGTCACCAAATCTTTTCTTCTATCACAGAGTGCAAGTTTATGCGGTGGCCCTTGATGGAGCAGAGTTGTCAAGGGTCTTGCCTTATTTCTAGGCCACTTTGCCGCATTAAGAGGATTAGGCACTGATCATGGAGGGGCTGGAGCAGCAGCAGTAGACTGTGCCAGACCAGGGAACTGGAAGAACCAAGGTTATAAAGCAGAAAGGAAACAAAGTGCTCAAGAGCAAGGGAGGGCTGGAGTGACAGTGTCTGGGCTGGTCGGGAAAGTCCTCTGGAGCCTCCTCCACCCCTGGGGCTATGCTTGTCTCTCTAGAGTTGGCAGAGCTCAGAAGGGTGGTTCTATGCTCACCGCCCCAGGACACTGTGTCCCTGCTCTCGCACTGGCCTCTGAACATGAACCTCACAGCCCTCTTGTTTTCCCTCCTACCCTGACTGAGAGCCACGCCACAAACTTGCCTATTTTGGACAGAGGCTGTAGAAGAGGCAAGAGAGCAGTGACCCTCTTCATAGCTGTCAGGTCATTGGGCCCAGGAGAGGGAAAGAGGAAGTGGCTATTTAAAAAGCTATTTAGACTATTTCACAATCTCCTTGAGGACCCAGCCCTGCGCCACCCCTGTGAGTTTCTGAATCACCTTTTGAGGTCTCCGACACTGTGAAATCAAACTGGGTTTCCTCAGTATCCATTTTGTTCTTTGTTCATGGATTTTTCCATCTTGGTGACTGCTGCACATCCTTGCCTTTTCTGGTTTTTCTTTGAGCCACTACAATGGTTTGGATATGATTTATCTCCCAACATTTCATGTGCTGGGAGGTTGATTCCAGGGTCATGTTGTTGAGAAGTGCTGGGACCGTTAAGAGGGTGCGCCCTAGTGGGAGGTGATTGAATCATGACCACCCTCCTGAAGGGATCAGTGCTGGTCTCTTGGGGTGGGTCAGGTCTGCCAGGAGTGGATTAGGTTGTTTTGAAAGAGTGAGCTTGACCCCTGCCCATCTCCTGCTTCTTTTCTTGCCATGAGGCCTTTCTCTCACACACAACCTCCTACCACGTGATGCTATCTGTGAGGAGGCCAGAAGTCCTTGTTAGTGTTATGTTCTTAGACATCCAAAACTGTGAGCTAAGTAAAGCAAACTTCTTTTCCTTATAAAATATCCAGTCTTAGGTATTTTGTTATAGCAATAAAAAAAGGACTAAGATAGTTGGCAATTTCATTTCTCCAATAAACCCAAGGACTTCTAGGAATCCTTCTTGGGAAGCATGAATGCAGAGACTGAGAAATGCAAGTCAGGAATGCTGGGCTCCATTCCACTACCCCATTTTGTCTTGCCTCATCACTGCTTGGTCACAGTAGATAGGGCCAGAGCCAGGAAGAAATTTGAAACATCACCTATATGTGCAGGTTGACCTATTCATATTTCCAAGAGCTCATGATGGCCTACCAGGGATGATATACAATTAGCACAAACTTCCCTTTCTTAACAATAAGTAATTTTAAATGTATTTTTTTGTGGTACTGGAGTTTGAACTCAGGGCCTTGTACTGTTAGGCAAACTCTCTGCCACCTGAACCATGCCTCTAGCACTTTTTGCTTTTTAAGTTTTTTTTTTTTTTTTTTTTGTTTAGATAGGGTCTTGTGTTTTTCCCCAGGCACCGACCACATGTCTAGGGCCTCCCATGTAGTTTGGACTACAGTCATGCACCACTATACCCAATTTACTGGGTGAGGTAGGGTCTTGTGAACTTTTTGCCCAGGCTTGAATCCAGATCCTTCTGATTTCTGCTTCTTAAATAGCTGGGATTACAGATGTGAGCCCCCACACCTGGCAACCACAATCTTTTTTGTTAAGACAAACACAGCTGTATGTGAAGGAGAATACAAAATTCAAATAAACATTTATAAAAAAATAAGATTTCAAGATCCTGGAATTGAGCTGATTCTGCCAATATTTGAGGTCCTTACAATGCACACATTGACCCCTCTTTGCTGTCAGGGGCCCTTCAATAGATGCTGAAGTAGTTTGACCTCTCATCTGATGCCTGATGAGAGCTGAAGTCTGGATCATGGTCACAAAGCCACTTAAGTTAGTTACTGCTCTACACTTCCGTGTCTTCAAGTGCAAAAATAGTCCTGACATCACCCAGTGACTATGGAGAATAAAGGAGAGGGCTGTGTAAAGTATCTGACATGTAGTAAGTGCTCAATCCATTATTATTAATAGGTTTTATTTTGGGGGTTTGAACTCTGGGCCTTGGGCTTGCTAGGCAAGTAGGCAAGCACTCTACGTACCACTCGAGCGATGCCCCCAGCCCTTTCTGACTTAATTTATTTTTCAGGTATGGTCTTAAGATTTTGCCTGGGGTTGCAGACCTTGATCGTTCTCTGGTGTAGCTGGGATTATAGGTGTATACCATCATGCCTGATTGTTAGTAGTATTTTTAATGATTGATGACCAAACTGAGATGCCAACTTCAAGTTTAGGACCAGATCCTTTAAGGAGTAGTGG